TATATGTATATATATATATACACACATATATATACACGCACACACACGCACAGACACCAGCTGACTTAGTATTTAACTTAAACATAAAACGTTACAGCCAAGTCAGTAGGCAAACATCCCATAATAGTTTGTACCTGACTATATTGGATCAGATATAAACATGGTGGATTTTAATAAAAAACAATGAAAACGTTTAATCGTCTTTAATTTTTTATTTTCTTATTAAAACTGTAAACTTCCAAATAAGGTCGGCAGCGTGGCCGGTTTGGGGTGTGGCTTGTAGCCGATTCGCTCGTTTATAAGCTCCGCCCTCGATGCGGCTGTTGAGGAAGAAGCTGAGGCCCCGCCCCCGATGATGTCAACGCTGATGACAGAGGTCCCGCCCACACCACCTCCTGACTCCGCCTCCTCTCGTTGACGCTTCCTGGCCTGTAAAAAGAGAAGGTAATTACCAATCAATACTGAAAGTCTAAGGTGATCAGGACGATGCTTCACGTTAAATAAAGTTTAAATGACGTCATAAAAACTTAAACATCAAAAATCAAACATTAAACTCTGCTGCTGTGACGATCAATCCGTCCTCTCGTCACAAGATATAGTCGTAATGGATCATGTGACTAATTGATTAATAAAACATCAAAACTACGATCAATTATCAGTCATTGGTTATGAAGAGATCAATAATATAAAACAAAAGATCAATCAATTAATAAGTGTGCAGAGAATATCAATCATTACTGTATATACTGATGGATAGACAGCATTGATTGATGACAGCATTGATTTGTATAGAAGTGATTTAAACCTCGAGCTCTTTCTTGACGCTCTCGAACTCTTCGGTGTCGTCGATCTTCAGCTCCAGACGAGTCGGTTTCCTCCTCAACATCTTCTGATTGAATGAGAGAAACCTTCACAAACAAGTGACAAATAATATTAATAGTTCTTACAATAAATAATTGATTTACATAATCAACATTAGCTGCTGTATTCTCATTAGCATATAGCTGCTGCTAACAGGCTAGCTGTTATACTAACCGATCAATCAAGATCAATGATGTTGAGTCACACTTTGAACGCAGCACAGAGACGTGAAATTATTTCCCGTCGTTTTAAAAATCACACTTTTCCCGCAATTTCTCTAATGTCACATTACCTATAATAAGGTACATTACAGGTGCATTTGGAGACTTATTGATCCTGCAGGTGATTAATACATCAGATATCTACTGTGTAATCTGAAGGAATTTAAACAACAGCAGTGGGAGCACTGTGAGGAGTAACGTTACTCCTCACAGTATCGTTACTGGTGTCCAACTCAGTCTGAATGGTAAACAGAAGCTAAGCTAACCAGCTAACGTCTGTTCGAACATGTAAAACACATTAAATGTAATCGGAAACAGACAAACTTTCCTCGCTCACAGTCACGCGACAGCTTCAACAGGTGTAACAAAAGTCTGTGAAGTTACCCGACAGGTGTGTTGTTGTCGATAAGTTCCCGGGTGTTTTCTTCTCTGCGCTCGTGTTTGTTTGCTGCAGATTTTGTCCACCGGAAGAACAACCTTTGACCCGGAAGCCGACGACTTGTTTACATCCGGGTCACGCTGCTCAGAGACGCCGCCGCTTCGTTCCTCTTCACAGGTACGTTTTAAAATTAAGACGTTTGTACGTTTTTAGAAATGTGTTGTTTTTAAATAGCTGTCAATCAAACCTAGCGCATGTCGGCTTAGTGACGTCAGGTGTGACGCACTCTTTTTATCCTGCTTTTTGTGAGTGCTAATGCTAACGTTAGCTGAGTGAACCGCGTTGTGCGCTTTTCTCTTTAATATCTTCAGTTTCCACCAAACTCCGTCAGAAAATCTCCTGATTTTAAACCAAATCTTTGATTGTGAAGGTTCCTCGTTCCTTTAGAGCTAAACTGTTCCGTTAACTGTGAGAGTCGCTCTGTGATTCTACTAAAAATAATAACACAACATTTAAAACACATCGCTGCAGCTGTGAGAAAGAAGAACGTATTGATTAACCATCGAGGGATACGTTCTGATTCTACTCTGAAGAAAAGAGAGACGGCTCAGTAAATATGAACTCTTCAGTGACTCGTGTCTGCAGGATTCAGAGCTTTCACAAACATTTGACTCATAAAGAATATATAACCCTTCAAACGAGTCTCAAGATGAGCAACAGTTCAGGGTTCACTCTCTACAGGGGACAGGTTTGGACAGACAGTCCAGCACCTCTTCTTCTGCAGACAGGTCTTAGTAACGTGTGCACAATGTGGTTTTGCATTGTTGAAATATAAGAAAGTCGTCTTGAAAGCAGTGCGCGTGTCTGTGCACGTTCTGGACTCAGTGGAGTCGTCAGAGGTCTTTCTGGATGTTCCAATCATGACGTCATTATTTCATTATTTAGAATCATCACTCGCCCTAAATTGCTCCCGACTTATTTTGTGAATGAAATTAAGTTGACCAAACAAAACATGAACTATCTGGTGTTCATGTTGTCTGCAATTAAATAAGTCAATTTAGAAATCCTTACTTTCTTTTTGTTTTCTTTTTTTTTTCAAACCTCCCAACATTTTCCAAGTTGGGTTTGAATAATATGTATGTATATATGTGTATGTGTATATGTATATGTGTATATGTATGTATATGTATGTGTATATGTATGTGTATATGTATGTATATGTATGTATATGTATATATGTATGTATATATGTATGTATATATGTATGTATATATGTATGTATATATGTATGTATATATGTATGTGTATAT